TAGTATAGCCGACCATTGGGTGGGGGAGGTGTAGTAAAGCCGACCATTGGGTGGGGGGGTGTAGTATAGCCGACCATTGGGTGGGGGGGTGTAGTATAGCCGACCATTGGGTGGGAGGTGTAGTATAGCCGACCATTGGGTGGGGGAGGTGTAGTATAGCCGACCATTGGGTGGGGTAGTATAGTTGGGTGGGTGGGGGGGGTGTAGTATAGCCGACCATTGGGTGGGGGAGGTGTAGTATAGCCGACCATTGGGTGGGGGGTGTAGTATAGCCGACCATTGGGTGGGGGTGTAGTATAGCCGTCCATAGGGTGGGGGGTGTAGTATAGCCGACCATTGGGTGGGGGGGGTAGTATAGCCGACCATTGGGTGGGGGGTGTAGTATAGCCGACCATTGGGTGGGGGGTGTGTAGTATAGCCGACCATTGGGTGGGGGTGTAGTATAGCCGTCCATTGGGTGGGGGGTGTAGTATAGCCGACCATTGGGTGGGAGGTGTAGTATAGCCGTCCATTGGGTGGGGGGTGTAGTATAGCCGACCATTGGGTGGGGGGGTGTAGTATAGCCGACCATTGGGTGGGGGTGTAGTAGTATAGCCGACCATTGGGTGGGGGGTGTAGTATAGCCGACCATTGGGTGGGGGGGGTGTAGTATAGCCGACCATTGGGTGGGGGTGTAGTATAGCCGACCATTGGGTGGGGGGTTGTAGTATAGCCGACCATTGGGTGGGGGTGTAGTATAGCCGACCATTGGGTGGGGGAGGTGTAGTATAGCCGACCATTGGGTGGGGGGTAGTATAGCCGACCATTGGGTGGGGGGTGTAGTATAGCCGACCATTGGGTGGGGGGTGTAGTATAGCCGACCATTGGGTGGGGGAGGTGTAGTATAGCCGACCATTGGGTGGGGGGGTGTAGTATAGCCGACCATTGGGTGGGGGTAGTAGAGCCGACCATTGGGTGGGGGAGTAGTATAGCCGACCATTGGGTGGGGGTGTAGTATAGCCGACCATTGGGTGGGGAGGTGTAGTATAGCCGACCATTGGGTGGGGGGTATAGTGTAGTATAGCCGACCATTGGGTGGGGGGTGTAGTATAGCCGACCATTGGGTGGGGGGTGTAGTATAGCCGACCATTGGGTGGGGGTGTAGTATAGCCGACCATTGGGTGGGGGGTGTAGTATAGCCGACCATTGGGTGGGGGTGTAGTATAGCCGACCATTGGGTGGGGGTGTAGTATAGCCGACCATTGGGTGGGGGGGTGTAGTATAGCCGACCATTGGGTGGGGGGTGTAGTATAGCCGACCATTGGGTGGGGGGGTGTAGTATAGCCGACCATTGGGTGGGGGGTGTAGTATAGCCGACCATTGGGTGGGGGAGGTGTAGTATAGCCGACCATTGGGTGGGGGTGTAGTATAGCCGACCATTGGGTGGGGGGTGTAGTATAGCCGACCATTGGGTGGGGGGTGTGTAGTATAGCCGACCATTGGGTGGGGGGTGTAGTATAGCCGACCATTGGGTGGGGGGGTGTGTAGTATAGCCGACCATTGGGTGGGGGGTGTAGTATAGCCGACCATTGGGTGGGGGTGTAGTATAGCCGACCATTGGGTGGTGGGTGTAGTATAGCCGACCATTGGGTGGGGGGTGTAGTATAGCCGACCATTGGGTGGGGGGGTGTAGTATAGCCGACCATTGGGTGGGGGGTGTAGTATAGCCGACCATTGGGTGGGGGGGTGTAGTATAGCCGACCATTGGGTGGGGGGGTGTAGTATAGCCGACCATTGGGTGGGGGTGTAGTATAGCCGACCATTGGGTGGGGGGTGTAGTATAGCCGACCATTGGGTGGGGGGTGTAGTATAGCCGACCATTGGGTGGGGGACCATTGGGTGTGTAGTATAGCCGACCATTGGGTGGGGGGTGTAGTATAGCCGACCATTGGGTGGGGGAGGTGTAGTATAGCCGACCATTGGGTGGGGGTATAGGTGTAGTATAGCCGACCATTGGGTGGGGGGTGTAGTATAGCCGACCATTGGGTGGGGGGGTGTAGTATAGCCGACCATTGGGTGGGGGTGTAGTATAGCCGACCATTGGGTGGGGGTGTAGTATAGCCGACCATTGGGTGGGGGGGTGTAGTATAGCCGACCATTGGGTGGGGGTGTAGTATAGCCGACCATTGGGTGGGGGTGTAGTAGAGCCGACCATTGGGTGGGGGGTGTAGTATAGCCGACCATTGGGTGGGGGTGTAGTATAGCCGACCATTGGGTGGGGGTGTAGTATAGCCGACCATTGGGTGGGAGGTGTAGTATAGCCGACCATTGGGTGGGGGGTGTAGTATAGCCGACCATTGGGTGGGGGGTGTAGTATAGCCGACCATTGGGTGGGGGTGTAGTATAGCCGACCATTGGGTGGGGGGTGTAGTATAGCCGACCATTGGGTGGGAGGTGTAGTATAGCCGACCATTGGGTGGGGGTGTAGTATAGCCGACCATTGGGTGGGGGTGTAGTATAGCCGACCATTGGGTGGGGGGGGGGTGTAGTATAGCCGACCATTGGGTGGGGGAGGTGTAGTATAGCCGACCATTGGGTGGGGGGGTGTAGTATAGCCGACCATTGGGTGGGGGGGTGTAGTATAGCCGACCATTGGGTGGGGGTGTAGTATAGCCGACCATTGGGTGGGGGGTGTAGTATAGCCGACCATTGGGTGGGAGGTGTAGTATAGCCGACCATTGGGTGGGGGGGTGTAGTATAGCCGACCATTGGGTGGGGGGGTAGTATAGCCGATACCATTGACCATTGGGTGGGGGGGTGTAGTATAGCCGACCATTGGGTGGGGGGTGTAGTATAGCCGACCATTGGGTGGGGGTGTGTAGTAAAGCCGACCATTGGGTGGGAGGTGTAGTATAGCCGACCATTGGGTGGGGGTGTAGTATAGCCGACCATTGGGTGGGGGTTGTAGTATAGCCGACCATTGGGTGGGGGTGTAGTATAGCCGACCATTGGGTGGGGGTGTGTAGTATAGCCGACCATTGGGTGGGGGGTGTAGTATAGCCGACCATTGGGTGGGGGAGGTGTAGAATAGCCGACCATTGGGTGGGGGGTGTAGTATAGCCGACCATTGGGTGGGGGGTGTAGTATAGCCGACCATTGGGTGGGGGTGTAGTATAGCCGACCATTGGGTGGGGGGTGTAGTATAGCCGACCATTGGGTGGGGGGGAGGTGTAGTATAGCCGACCATTGGGTGGGGGGTGTAGTATAGCCGACCATTGGGTGGGGGGTGTAGTATAGCCGACCATTGGGTGGGGGGTGTAGTATAGCCGACCATTGGGTGGGGAGGTGTAGTATAGCCGACCATTGGGTGGGGGTGTAGTATAGCCGACCATTGGGTGGGGGTGTAGTATAGCCGACCATTGGGTGGGGGTGTAGTATAGCCGACCATTGGGTGGGGAGGTGTAGTATAGCCGACCATTGGGTGGGAGGTGTAGTATAGCCGACCATTGGGTGGGGGGTTGTAGTATAGCGACCATGTAGTATAGCCGACCATTGGGTGGGGGGGTGTAGAATAGCCGACCATTGGGTGGGGGGTGTAGTATAGCCGACCATTGGGTGGGGGGTGTAGTATAGCCGACCATTGGGTGGGGGTGTAGTATAGCCGACCATTGGGTGGGGGAGGTGTAGTATAGCCGACCATTGGGTGGGGGGTGTAGTATAGCCGACCATTGGGTGGGGGTGTAGTATAGCCGACCATTGGGTGGGGGAGGTGTAGTATAGCCGTCCATTGGGTGGGGGAGGTGTAGTATAGCCGACCATTGGGTGGGGGGGTGTAGTATAGCCGACCATTGGGTGGGGGGTGTAGTAGAGCCGACCATTGGGTGGGGGAGGTGTAGTATAGCCGACCATTGGGTGGGGGGGTGTAGTATAGCCGACCATTGGGTGGGGGAGGTGTAGTATAGCCGACCATTGGGTGGGGGGTGTAGTATAGCCGACCATTGGGTGGGGGGTGTAGTATAGCCGACCATTGGGTGGGGGGTGTAGTATAGCCGACCATTGGGTGGGGGGTGTAGTATAGCCGACCATTGGGTGGGGGGTGTAGTATAGCCGACCATTGGGTGGGGGGTGTAGTATAGCCGACCATTGGGTGGGGAGGTGTAGTATAGCCGACCATTGGGTGGGGGAGGTGTAGTATAGCCGACCATTGGGTGGGGGTGTAGTATAGCCGACCATTGGGTGGGGGAGGTGTAGTATAGCCGACCATTGGGTGGGGGGTGTAGTATAGCCGACCATTGGGTGGGAGGTGTAGTATAGCCGACCATTGGGTGGGAGGTGTAGTATAGCCGACCATTGGGTGGGGAGGTGTAGTATAGCCGACCATTGGGTGGGGGGTGTAGTATAGCCGACCATTGGGTGGGGGAGGTGTAGTATAGCCGACCATTGGGTGGGGGAGGTGTAGTATAGCCGACCATTGGGTGGGGGAGGTGTAGTATAGCCGACCATTGGGTGGGGGAGGTGTAGTATAGCCGACCATTGGGTGGGGGGAGGTGTAGTATAGCCGACCATTGGGTGGGGGGAGGTGTAGTATAGCCGACCATTGGGTGGGGGAGGTGTAGTATAGCCGACCATTGGGTGGGAGGTGTAGTATAGCCGACCATTGGGTGGGGGGTGTAGTATAGCCGACCATTGGGTGGGAGGTGTAGTATAGCCGACCATTGGGTGGGAGGTGTAGTATAGCGGACCATTGGGTGGGAGGTGTAGTATAGCCGACCATTGGGTGGGGGGTGTAGTATAGCCGACCATTGGGTGGGGGGTGTAGTATAGCCGACCATTGGGTGGGAGGTGTAGTATAGCCGACCACCTCGTTCACCCAGCGCGCGCCCGTGCCTGACTCACCCAGCGTGCCCCGTGCCTCGTTCACCCAGCGCGCGCCCGTGCCTGACTCACCGCGCGCCACCAGCTGACTCGCTGTGACTCACCGTGACTCAACGAGCCTTGGTGCCTGCCTGACGTCACCTTACCACCCCTCGCTGTCTGGCCTGACGACTCCTGCCGCGCCTGACGTCTCCTGCCGCCTGACGACTTCTACCGCACCTGACGTCTCTTGCCGCCTCCCGGCGCCGACGACGCCGCAGCACGACGCCACAGCACGACGCCGGATCTGTGACGACCAGATCATCTCTGCCCTGTTGAACGGATTGCAGCCCCAGCAGCCTTCAGCTCTAGTTAAGTACCCTTTGTTATTTGTGTAGTAGAGTAAACTGTGGACTTTCGTGGGCACAATGTAAACTTACTTTATGGATAACCGATACTCGCTCAGGCCTCGCTCGCGCACTTACCCCTACAGTCTACGGTCTCGTTCACTATCGGAGAGTAACTTACTCTTAACTAGTGAGCTCGCTCACTTATCCTTAGCCAGTGAACTTCCGACATCAGCTCTCGGTAGCTTATCCTCGTTAACCTCTACAACCAGCAGCGACTCAGTAATCATGACTCAAGCCCTGAATTCAGCGGGTTCTAACTCGAACACCGTTACAGTTCTTACACAGTCTGTTGACATTCGCCCGTTTAGTGGAAAGGATCCAACCCTCTTGGAGACATGGTTCGCTAGTGTAGAGGCTAGAGCGAGGAGCAAGGGTACTGCTGTCACAGACGCAGACTATATCAGTATGGCGACGTCCACACTTGACTATAAATCTGGAGATGCGTATCTCGTAGCAGGAACACCTGACTTAAAGAAGATTGTAGACTGGGAAGAATTTAAGAAATTCTTTCGTAGGAGATATATATCGGTAGTCGATCGTGATCCCTTTGGCATTGCTCGCCAATTAGCTACTGCGGTAATGCGTCCTGATGAAACACGCAACGCTTTTGCCACGCGTCTAGCTACGCTACAGGACTCACTGGAGAAAGCCTTGATGGGTTCTAGATGGGACGCTAGTGGAAGCCTCACTATACAGAATGTGGGTAAACTATTGGCGTTCGGTGCCATGCAGAGTCATGCCCCCGAGGCCATACTGAAAGACATTGAGGCTAGGAATTTTGGTCCTACCCACACACTTTGGGACTTAATGGACGTCATGGTAGAGTCCACAGACAGGCTAAAGTCCCGGGATTCTGCCCAGCTTTCTGCCGTTTTTCGTGCAAACAGTTCCCATACCACTGTGAACGTTGTCACGCGTTCTACCCCTAGACATGTTCAGACTCGTGCTAGGTCTCCTCCGCCTTCGTATGGCCCCAGGTCATACTCTAGAACAGGCTCCCCTCAATACCTTCAGCGACCTCGAACGCCAGAATGTTTTAACTGTGGCAAACCAGGACACCGTAAGGCAGAGTGTACATCAACTAACACTCGTTACCAACAGCATGCTAGACATAACTACACAGGCCGATCACATGATCACACCCGTTCTTATTGCACATATCACCGCCGACCTGGACATGACACTGCTGACTGTAGAGCCCGCCACGGTACTAACCAGGCTAACCGTTCTAGTCCTACTCCTCCTTCCCGTAGGCAACCGCAGGCTGCAACAACTAACCAGCGCCGACCGAGCCCTACACGTAGCCCTGCGACCCGACCGACTGCCCATGTTAGGTTCGCAACAACTGACAGCCGTGACACAGATGGACACCGTGACTCGCGCGTGATAAACGGCGCCACGGCCGTCAAGGATAATGCAGACACGACCTACGAACACACAGGTCAGCCCTTTGACTCTCAGTCGGGGGAAGGTATAGCAGCCTGGGTAAACGGTATGACGTAGGGAAGCGAGACGACCTCCCTGTATACTCAGTGCCTACCTGTAACAGGTACAGTGCCTTAGCAGAGGAGGATAACATGGACGAACTACACACTGACGGTACTCATGTACATGTACTCCAGACACCACGTCGACTGTGTCAGTCCCGTAATAACATGTTTAACAGGATGCCTATCAAGGACACAGAAGGTCCTCTGATTTCAGCCACCCTGAAGAGTCGACATGTTAAGATTTTCCTAGACACAGGAGCTAGAATCAACATCATTAAACAAGACGCCCTTCATGGCCTACGCGATCGACTCGATATACGCCAGTCGTCTGTTTCCAACCTTGGTGGACTTACTGGAGGAATGACTCCAGCGTTAGGTGAAGCGGACATAGAGTTAATAGTTAATGACAGATCACTCACCGTGCCATGTGTAATAGCCGGTGCAGTACGATTCCCTGGAGACATCCTACTCGGATTAAACACCATGAGAGACTACCGAGTTACTATCGATGCTTACCGTTGGGAAGCAACAATTGGTGATACAGTGGTACCTCTTTGCAGTGTGTACACCATGGGACATGAGTTCACCAACCATTGGGACTATGTCAGGTACATACAAATCAGGGGAGACCAGGGTACACTTAACCAGTCACGCCCAAACAAACCCGTCACTCAGTCACTTACTGACACCAGACCAACGCACGTTTCCACAGTCTCGCAGGTCGGTGAGGTCAATGAATCTTTGCAAGGGGCCCCAGCGATTGTTCATTACCTTACTTGCCTGGAGTCTAACATCAGTCAGGTCAGAGGCATCTTACACCAAGACACAGTCTTACATTCTCATGCACTAACAAAGGTTATTGTCAAAATACCTGGTGTATCTGACCTAGAACACGTAATAGCTGACAGTGACACATGTCAAATCAATGGTACCTACATAGAACCGTCCTTACATCAGGTGCAGAATAACACTACTGCTGTTTATGTTGCCAACGTCACCAATGCCAACATTCACCTTGCATCAGGCACACACATTGTTGACTTTGCCCATTATTCGTTACCGGTGCGAGTAGTGGATGAGGTCTCTACTGACCAAATAGTACATGCACTCACTCACACAACAAATCGAGATCTGATCGCGATCTCACCTGTGCATCTTAGCGCCACTGACTTCCCTGACGCCCAATCTCAGTTACTGACCATCCTCAACAAGCATCGCAACGTTGTTGCACTGACAGGTAAACAACTTGGATTGACACACCTCATTACTCACAAAATTCCACTGGAACCAGGTACTCGCCCAATTTTTGTACCCGCGTACAGATTGCCTCATTCTCAACGAGCTGTTGCAGACCGACTCATTGACGAGATGTTACATGACGGCGTTATTGAAGAAAGTACTTCACCATGGACTGCTCCGTTAATCTTAGTACCCAAGAAGGATGGCTCTTGGCGTCCTGTCGTTGATTTCAGGAAACTTAATCAAGTTACGATTCCTGATCGATTTCCACTTCCCGTGCTCACTGACTTATTGCAGAACATTGGTCAGAATAAGGTTTTTTCCACACTTGATTTATTGCAAGGATTTTGGCAGATACCGCTCGACCCAGAAAGTCGAGAACTGACGGCGTTTTCCGTCCCTAATGGTCATTACCAGTACACCCGCATGCCTTTTGGCTTACGCAGCAGCCCTATTACCTTCTCAAGGCTTATGACAGACCTGTTCCGACGAATGATAGGGAATACCCTCATGGTCTACCTCGATGACCTCATTATCATGTCCAAGGATGTACCCTCACATCTTCAAAGTTTGGACCGAGTCCTTCAGAAACTAGCTGAAGCCAATCTGAAAATCAAACTTAGCAAATGCGCCTTCATGAGAGAAAAAATACAGTTTCTCGGCCATAACGTCACCTCGCAAGGCATCACCACTCTAGATTCAAAGATAGAAGCTGTCAAGAACTTTCCAGTCCCTCATAATGCTGAAGCAGTACAAAAGTTCGTAGGCCTAGCTGGATTTTACCGCCATTTCATTGCCGGTTATTCAGTGATTGCATCTCCTCTCACTCACCTCCTTAAGAAGGACGTTCCGTTCGTTTGGACAACTGATCAAGAGAAAGCATTTCAAACGCTCAAAGAAGCCCTGATATCTTCTCCTGTTCTCAAATTCCCAGACTTCACCAAACCGTTCATTTTAGTTACTGACGCCAGTAACATTGGGTTAGGGGCCGTACTCGCTCAAACTAGTGACAGAAAAGAACATGCCATTGCATATGCGAGCCGAGTCCTCTCTAAAGCTGAAAAGAATTATTCGACAACCGAGCGCGAAGCGTTGGCTGTCGTATGGGCACTCAAACATTTCAGAGATATCATCTATAACTACCCTGTCCATGTACTGACGGACCACCAAGCTATCATTCCCTTGTTCAGAGACAAGAACCCCATAGGCAAGTTTGCCCGTTGGTCGCTCACCATACAAGAGTTCCTACCCACGTTTGGATACTTACCTGGCAAACACAATGTAGTTGCCGATGCTCTCTCACGTTACGTCGCTCCCGTTCACGTTGAATACCCTTCATTAGACTTGCGAGATGTAGAACTCGCACAACGTCAAGACCCAATGTGGGCACCGATCATAAGCTTTCTCATGGACCCGCACACGACTCTTACCGTCAAGCCACCCGTACCACTCAAGGAACTAGTACTCTTAGATCATGTGCTCCATCGCAAGGTTGTGCTTGGATCTCCTGCCAGACTGGTACATCAACTTGTTATTCCTGCGTCGATAGTTCCTACCGTGTTAAAACTTGTTCACGACGCCCCACACAGTGCGCATCCTGGCAAGGACCGCACCGTCAAGCAGGCTCGTCTTACGTACTACTGGCCCAAAATGGCCAAACAGATTGAACGTCACGTGGATCAATGTCTAACCTGCCTAGCTCACAGAGGCCATGTTGCTGGCCCGAACCCGATTCAGACTTACCCTACGACTAATGTACCTTGGGATCGTGTTTCTATGGATTTGTTAACGAATTTTGCTGAAACCTCCAGAGGAAATAAACATCTCCTAGTTATGGTAGATAACTTCTCTAGATACTGTGAACTGGTTCCAATTCCAAACAAAACTGCAGAAACTATAGCTAGTGCCTTTCATGATCATATAATTTGCAGGTATGGTCCACCCAGAGTTATACTCTCTGACAACGGCCCGGAATTCAACAATTCTGTTCTGGAACAACTGGCTACATTGTACAACATCAAGAAGTGTAATATAATGCCTTATCAACCGGCTAGCAATGGCCTTGCTGAAAGAACTAACAAGAAGGTCCTTGACGCACTCAGAGTGACAGTCAATCGGGACAGTCACAAATGGGATGAACTTATGCCAATCGTCCAATGTTCGATAAACTCCTCTGTCAACTCCTC